GGCCCGCCTTCACTTAGGGCGGGCACGAGGCTTGCTGGGGCCTTAGCCTAGAACATGTACACCATGGCAAGGCCCCTTCTTGAGGGCTCAATCCTGACACAGAGAGAGAGAGAGAGAGAGAGAGAGAGAGAGAGAGAGAGAGAGAGAGAGAGAGAGAGAGAGAGAGAGAGAGACAAAAACCAGTTGGGGGTCGGTCTATATGACGTGATCGTGTATGAATCCCTCAAGTGAAGATAACGGTTAACCGCTGAGTATCACGGGAAGTCCATCAAAGGATTGCAGGCCACGCTGTAGCCGAACTCTCTCTCGTGGACTTTCAAGTAGGTGTCTGTTTCAAAATCGTTTCTCACCACCGGAAAACCCAATGGGAGATCGGACAATACAGGGCTCCGGGGGGTTTGATAATAGGGACTTCGACCGTTCAGATTCACCAACGATCAAGAATTGAACATAACGCTCTCAAATTCGAGAAGGCCACTCAATTGGAAAAAGCGGTAATTAGGTGTCATTTGCCGCTCACTGCAAAGACCCCATTCAGGGGGCTGGGAACGACATGAAGCCATTTGGCGTGGCATCAAGGGAAGTGATCAGCATTTTACTTTGGCTGATTGAGAATTACGAGCTGAGCTGTTTATCCATGTGATTTGCCCGAGTTCACCTGTGATGAGTGTGAGGCGTGAAGTGGGACTACCAAGTGTGAAAAGGGCAATTTGGTTGAATCCCAACGCTGAGTCTTCTCCATCAGGTCCAATCAAAATCGGTCTGCACGCTGACCTGGATATTCCTTGCTTCCCCTTGTGACTGGACGAAATTACATCAGTGAACCTGCTTGTTGCAACTTCCGACATACTCCTGTATTTCGGAGGTATAGCAGATCACTCACAGCCCGCACAGACAACCTCAGAGATGCCCTGCTTGTATGTTAAATCTTGAAGGCATCCTTACAAAAGCCACCATTCCGTAACTAGCCCTGTAGTTCACTCGGTAACAGTGAATTACAGACACAGTCCGTTATCGCATCACTCAAGAAGGAATACGTAACCAATCAACTGCAAGAACCGCTCCACTATTTACTTGTTATTATTATTATTATTATTATTATTTTTTTCCCTTTTTCCTTTGATTGGTTGATGTCTACGGGTATGAATGGCTAATGCTATCTGTTCTATGCC